ATAATATTTCACACTACTTTTCCTTGTTATCCTTTATGACTCAAAGTCGGGAATTTCCAGCGATAAACACTGTTGTGGTTATATAATCTGTTGGTAACTGATAGAAGCTGCACTTTATGTTAACATTTCACAAAAACAAGATCTTTCCATAAATATGTCCCTCACAGAGCGCTAATAAAAATGAATAAACCAACAAAACCTCGTGACAAAGCCAATTTATCTAATCACTTAAGAAGGGATAAAAGTTTATCATAAACTTCTCGACAAAATACCTTGCATCACAAAAGCATTTAATCTTCATGCCATTCGCAATTTACTTTGCGTGGTAAAAACGTTCCTTTAAAATGGGCCAAGCCCAAAGCTACAGAATTGACTCAAATATAGAAATTATCAACAACACCTACCAAGACATCACAAATACTCGATGCTACGATACTCTTTTCGACACAAACAACACCAACATACAAACACGCCCATATCACACTCTTCAAAATCTCAGAATATCAGCAATAGGAGGTAGAATCGAGCGCCATGAAGATTTTGACCATTTTTCGAGCGCTGTGCCCTTCATTATTGTTCTCACATTTATGGACGGCAGCACCGACGAGTTTCGTCTAGGCGCTCGTCTTTTAGGAAATCCAGAGTTCGACCATTTAAGAGGATCTGACCACATCACCTGTTATCGATCTGGTATAGAAAAAATTACTATCAAAGTCGAGAACACAGCCCAACAAATAGAAAATCATCGAGCTGAAGAGAAGAATAAAGAAGGTGCAGCTGCTTTGAAACAGAAACAATTTGAAGTTGCGATGAAAAAGTTTGATGAAGGTTTGAAATCGGCAAATCAAACTTCTACTATAAATGTTATCAAGAAAAATAAAAGTCGTGCTTGTAGTGAGTTGGGAAAGAAATTGCTCCAAGAAGCATGGGATGTGGAGAGTGATGATAAGAATGACAGGTCGCAGGAAGCAAAAAGTAAGTTTGATCAAGCCAGAAGTCTGTTCCAAGCAGCACAAAATTTGTGGGCTTCGTCAGAGTATCAGCAAAATCTGAAAATCGTCGATTTGAAAATTGATGGGAATCGTCTGTTTAATGAAGCAAACGAACTGGAGAAAGAAGCTTTCAAGTATTTTGAAAGTGGGAAGGATGATAATACTAGTGCTAAGAATAAGTATAAAGAAGCTTTGTTGAAGTATAAACAAGCAGTACAAAAATTTGAAGAAGGTGCAAAGCTTGATAACAAGTTCGGTGAGAGTGTAAACATTGCTAACGAATTTGTTCAAGAAGTGAAGAAAGTGGTTGATGATATTGAAACAACTGAGTTGAAAAGCAGGATTAATAAAGTGAATATTGATGAAGGAAAGACTGACAAAAATGAACAGGTAACTGATACAATGTTACAAGAACAAATTGATGATGTAGCAAGCTAGGTTAATAATAATTATTAAAGATTTAATAATTATTAAGAATTTTTCTTGTTAAAATATTTATTACTAATCTTTTACGTTCCTGTTGTATGAGTAATCAATATAAAAGTGATACATGTTTTATTTGCATTTTGTATGTAAATAATAATAAAATGTAGATCATTTCGTTCACCTCCACCACAAATCTGCTTTCCAATGTCTGCATCCTAATCTAAATATTTGCTGGCGTTTTTCTTTTCAAAAATTTGTTTAGGTATGTACATTTTTAATTGAGTTCTAGAAATTAAATGCTATTTCAGTACAGTAATCATTCTTTTATGCACCCTAATTGGAAAAGTAGAAGTACCTAACACACATTTCGCTTATTAATTTGAAGATATATGCAGACATTTGTGAAATAAGTATGTTTTCTTGATTTGATCAATAAAATAAGAAGAATAATAGCAGTAGGAATAGTGTAAGAAATAAAAAAGGCTCATGCGAGAATCGACTGTGACAGTTGAAGTGAGGTGATCCTTCAGCGTGCTGCTGACTAAGGTAAGGATAAGTAAGAAGGAAGAGATGTAAGATCACATTAGTAGTGACGAAGAAGAAAATGGGCGCAACAGAAATAAATCAGTCTACGATAACCCCCTAGTAGCAAAAAAACACATTTTTCAAGAAAGCAAAGTAGTGCCAAGAAGAGCAATTAAAAGTGAAACCAGTGGAACAAAATAAACCAAATGTCGAAAGAACTAAAAAAGCAGATTGAGAAGATATTCCAGAAATTAAGGCAAATATTAGAGGAGAAATGAAAAATTTGCAAAACGAATTGAAGGACATCAAAGAAAGTATATTTTATAACCAAACAGAGAAGAAATACAACATATAAAAGAAGAGATCAAAAAGATAAAAGAGAAAAAGACAGAAGAAAGTAATATATTAAAGAACAAACTAACAGATACAAAAAAAGAAAGTCGTAAAACTGGAAAAAGAACAAAATCTGTATCAAATAATCTGGTAATAACGGAATTGAGCACGGTACGGAGAACGAATAATAATTATTAAAAGAAGGCATGCAAAACACGATGGAAAGAGTACTTCAACTGAAGTGGATATAAAACAGTTGGTCGAAGGTTGCTTCACCAGAACTTCCCTCGCCCCTGAAGTACAATGAAACATATCGAGCATTTTCAAAAAATGATAAAACTGGATTTTGGGAATTTTATTTTTTATGACAACTCCTATAAGTTGAACAATTGGTTTCAAAACAAGCGGGACATTGACAGAAAGACAAACGTCAAATTTTTCAATGCTTTTCATACTTTGTTACGGCTTCTAGATTGTGAGTTTATAGAAAGACAGGTTAGGTAACTCAATTTTATCCCGTATAAATCCGTTCTTCCGGACTCTAACTCAGCAACAATACGTGCTCAATCAACTTTCGTTAAATAAGGCATGGACACAAGTCTTTGTGAGAGACAATTAATGATGACAGGAATTAAATGACAAACTTTGATACTGATTGCTGTCATTAATTGTCACTATTGGTCAGCATTACATGATAAAAATAAAATTATGTACCGCTTTTTTTGAAACCAATTTTATGTAATGTTAAAGTAAATGTAAAGAAGTGTTCCACGCGTATGTTTCAAATGAGTTTTTAGTTTACAAAATTTTGTGATACGTCATCAACATTTTTGCAAGAACACATATATCAACTTCTATTACTGCCGTGTAATACTAATAATAACAGGATTGAATTCCCAAAATTTCGGGAAAATGGAGTGAACCGCTAATGATTTAATCAATAAAATAAACTGACACATCCATTTGAGCCACCTGCATAAGTAAATCTGAAAAATATGAATGCAATCATAAATCATAAGTGAAAACTCATCATATGTTGCAGTTTACATGGAATTTATTTTGCGATCAAGTCATCAAGTTTTTGGGGAGAATAAACACATCAATTTTAATTAAAAACTTACCAAGGTTACAAAAACTTCAAAACGTCTGCAAGACTTCAAAGCATTCGGTTTTGCAGTCCTGATTTAATCAATAAAATAAACGGCCTCAATCATTAATTTTTTGTGCCACCCTGTATAAGCAAATCTAAAAAATATGAATGTAGGGATAAATCACAAGTATAGACTAACTCATCATATTTTGCATATTTTATATAGGGTTTATTCGACAAATTTTGACATGTTATCAATTTTTTGGAGGGTAGGGGGGATAAACAGACATTTTGATTAAAAATTTGCCATTCCTTCAAAACTTCAAAACGTCTGCAAGACTTTAAAGCATTCGATTTTGCAGTTCCTGATTTAATCAATAAAATAAATTGTGCCATTAGTTATTTTTTTTTTGAATCATAATCAGGTCTAAAAAATATTAATGCAATGATAAATCACAAGTATAGGCTCATCATATTTTTCACATTTTAGATTAGATTTATTCGGCAAAATTTTGAGGTGACGTTACTATATATATTTTTTTTTGGCCGGGGTAAGCAAATATATTTTGATTGGAAATTTATGATGCTCAAGTGTTTGCAATTTCTGTAAATGAATTCCAACATTTTATAATCTGATTTTACAACATTGTCTGGATAAATGAGAAGCTTAAATAGCTGTCGAAGAGTACAGCCAAATCCTTTACGTCACGAGTTAAAAGAATGTCATTGATTTTATAGTTATATGTTATAAATATATTCTCATAATATATTTTCATAATAAATGTCAGAACTAAGCATATAGTTATAATTAATTCAAGTAAATTAGCCGACAGCAGTTCCTGAGTCTTATTCGATCGCTTCCAAAGCAAGACAATAATTTGTTGTGAGGATGTTACGGAATATTTTAAGTTCGTCAGCAAACATAAGTAATTGAGGGACGCCGGAAAGTCATTAATAAATATCAGGGATAGTAGGGGTCCCACACTGGTGCACTGCGATACTCCGTATGTTGGTGTAACACATTTCTAGCGAACATTTTGGTATTCGTCTAATTGTCTACGATCATTAATGTATGAGGTAAATAACCATATTAAATTGTCTATTAAACCAAATGTCTTCAGCTTATGTAAGAAGCCATAGTGATCTATAAGATCGAAGATTTTCATGAAGAAATTGACTGAAGTTCACCAAGTCGGTTACTGTTGATCTATTTTCCATGAACCCATGTTGACATTCCTATATTTGGTGGCTAACAGGTCTAGATTTTACTTTTACTTTTTACTTTTTAAAGCACAATTTAACATTTTTCTGCAAAAAATGGTAATATCAATGAAAGTAGGATACTATTTTTCCACCGCAAAAATCATCTCTGGGTTTTCACCCTAACAAAAATTAACCTGGGGTCTAAAAGTTAATACGGGAATCCCTATGGCTACTTTTAAAAAAGATACACTGTATAAAATGTGTATAAAGTAAGTATATATTTACTCTCGATTTTCTATTTACCACCATCTTAACATCTGCTTAAGTGTTACTTAACGAAACTCGAAATTATTTTATATTTCAATTATTTAAACAGACAAACAAACATTTTTTGACAAAAACCAGGTGTTAAACATATTAGACAGATAAGATATGGTTATCGAATCTATATTATTTGTAATCTGTTTAAAACGAAAAAATACATGACAGGTGAGTACTTTTTAACTACCACTTTAAATTAACCTCGGATCAATTCGATCTTCACTCTCTGTTTTTATTTCATCCTTTTCAATATTACCTTGTCCACTGGTGCGATCATTCAGCCCAATCCTCTCAATATCATCAATCATCTGGTTCACCTCTTCAATGTGCGCTCTAGCAATGTTTACACAATCTTCAAATTTGTCTCTATCTAACTGCAGTCCATCCTCAAACTTCTTCAATGCTTCTTGAAATTTTACCAAAGCGTCTTTGTAGTTATTTCGCGCAGCGACGATATCACCGCCCCCATTGTCAAATATTACAAATGCTTCTTTCTCCATTTCATTCGCCTCATTAAAAATTCGATTACCTTCAATTTTCAAATTAACTAGAGTCAAGTTGTGCTGATATTTCGGTGAGTTCGATAAAGCTTCAGCATTCTGGAATAACTTTAGGGCTTCGTTTAACGTATCTTGAATTTCTTGAGACTTATCGTCGGTAATATCAGCTTCCAAATCCCCAATTTTTTGTAAAAGTTCCTCTCCCCACTGGTTAAAAGCTTGACTTTTGTTACTTTTGATTTTGTTGCTAACTGAATCTTGACTGTTCAAATTCAAAGCTTCGTTAAACTTTTTAATAGCAGTTTCATAGTCCTTCGTTTCCAAAGCAACTTCACCTTCTCGATTTTTCTTTTCGGCTTCCTCATTTTGGACCTGTTGATTCGTATTTGCAATTTGGATAATGAGTGTTGGTTGGTTCTCATTAGAAACGGAGAAAGTAATGTCGTGAGCTCGTTGCATGTGGTTAAAACCAGCACAACACCCAAAAACATGTTTTTGATGAATACGAAATTTATCTACTGTACTATCAGCGAAAGTTAGGACCATGTTGAAAGGACAGTGACTTGCATTTCTTTTAACTTCAAGTCTTTGAGAGACTGAACCGCCTCGCGCTGGGATGTTTTGATGTTGAAAGTTTCTATCTGGTCTACAATTCTCGTCCCAGTCATAGTTATCACATGAGGAAACTGAAGTGTCTATGATGTCTTGGTTGGTGTTATTGACAACTTTTAAATAAGATTCGATTGTACCCATTTTGGCACATATCTTCGAACTAGAAAATAAAACATAACAGAAGTAAATTTACAGTGTTTTAAGGGTCCACTTACCTACCTCGATATTCTGGTGAAATAGTGGAACGATAACACTCATTCACTTTTATCAGTGTTATCAGTTCAATGCGTGTAACAGAAACGGTTTGATAACCTCTGATTTTATTGTGTATACTGCAGAGCAATCCTCATTTAGATTCTGCACTGAAAATATTTTGACAGATAGTTTAGTTCTTTGTGTGTTGATATTTTTTTGCTAGGACTAGCATATCGCATAATAAAACGTACTAGTTCAAGGTCATGCGATAAATAATAGTGTAATCAGTAATCAGTTAAATTTGTAGAGATAAAGATATTTGCTTTTTTAATCGGGAATGCTAGTTATTTCTATTATAACTAACTTAACTCTTGTGTTGAACTCTTAGATATAGTTAAAAAAAATGTGGTCAAGCAAATGTATTAATGAAATATTAGCAAACATTCAGCGCTATGGGTAAAACTTAAAAATTGCCACTGAAAAACGAGATTATTGCTTGCTTCATTCTCGCATCTCAATGGTTAAGCATGCTGGACAAAATTTTGCTTGGAATTGTGTATTTCAATTGGGTGAGAATTGTATGAATGTTAGTCTGCATAAAAATATTTGTTCCAAGTCTAGAAAAATATGAACTTTTGAATTTAATCGTTTTATACCGAAAACCAACTTATGATGATATTAGAATTCACTTTCAAAATTTGATTTTTAACATCACAGGAATTCACATTTAATATGTCGAATTTCAAATTCAATCATAAGTTGTTAGATTGAATTTCCGAAATTTTATTTTTGAAATCCTTTAAGGCGGTAAAATTTCTATTTTCTATTTAGGAACTTTGATATTTTGAAATCGTTGTTTTTCGCCACTCAAACTAATAGCATTAATATTCGACAATCGAGCTTATATATGTCCGAATTCTGAAGTTCATGGATTCTAAAAAAAATAAGCTTGTTATGAATATTTAAGATAATATAACTTATAACAATATGTATTGAAAATACTTCGACAAGCGTACAGCTATATATACACTAGGGTGATTAAAAAAAAAAAAATAATTTTTTTTTCGTGTCAAAGAGGTTCAAAAGTTTCTTTTCAACGTAAAAAAATACCAGTTAAAAGTTGAGCTCTTAATATTAATATTAAGACCGTCCGCATCGCGTTTTTCTATTTCCCATAAGAATAACATGGGAAAATTTTTGTTTGCACCTTCTGATTTTTATTGCTAGCCCGTCGTGTGTCGTGAAAAAAATTCAATCACATATTTTTATAGAGAATTGAACGCTCTACAAAAAGTGTCTCCTATGATTTTGCGAGAAACCTGACTATGATTTTTTAACCCACTGATGCTGAAAATGTTCGGAAAGAGTTTTACTGGCCTTATTATAGCATAAAATTATAAACAATTACTGTTTAAAAAACTAAATTTAAAATGTGTATAAATTTTTGTGGTGATTTATTCCAATAAGACCATCAAATTTATTGTAATGCATCAAAAACGTCAAAATTTGGATAAATTTAACTTTAGCCTAAAATAACTCTTCAACTATCAGGTTTCTCGCACAATCATAGGAGACACTTTTTGTAGAGCGTTCAATTCTCTATAAAAATATGTGATTGAATTTTTTTCACGACACACGACGGGCTAGCAATAAAAATCAGAAGGTGCAAACAAAAATTTTCCCATGTTATTCTTATGGGAAATAGAAAAACGCGATGCGGACGGTCTTAATGTTAATATTAAGAGCTCAAATTTTAACTGGTATTTTTTTACGTTGAAAAGAAACTTTTGAACCTCTTTGCACGAAAAAAAAAAATATTTTTTTTTTTTGAATCACCCTAATATACACGTATATATACTAGACCTAAAACTGCCTAGAATAAACAGAATAAAAGTGCTGTGTAAATGGACATGTTTTTCTGTAGATCTATATATATATATATATATATATATTTTTTTTTAACAAAATTGCTGATAATGTTAACCATAAGCTTTGTTAAAAAGATATAGCTGTCACAAATCAAAATCCATGAAATTTCTAATTCGAAACATGGCATAATTATTATTCGTTTAATGAAAAAGTATTTTCGCAGTCCCACAAAATAATTAACATGCAGTGTTAATTACAACATTTTACACAACATAACATATGTTAGTAACACTAAAACTACTGTTAACAAATGTTAGTCCATGAAGAATATTTTAAAAGAGCAATTGATAAATTATTGGTTCTTGTGCATTAGTAAAATCAGTCGGCGTACTTTCCGCATTTTACCTAGAAATGTCATGGCCTTAGTTTTCCCTAAGTCGCTGGCATTACTACACATAAATAGGGAAGTAAACATAAAAATATATTTAAGATAATAATTCCCTTCGTTATCATAAAGCTAATATTGATTATCACATAACAAGCTTCTGAAAAATTTTCCAACTAGTCACCGAAACTTCCGTTCGGTGTGTTTAATTTCTATTGGGTCGGAAATTGCCGCCCTGACCGCAACATCCAAAACACTGTGATTCCCGCCAAAACCTCCCTTGGCAGAAAGCCACTGAAAAACCAAGCCTCTGAATACCCATTTACCATGACCTTGACTTTCCGAAACAGAAAAATGGACAATTTCTATATCAATCAAAAGTATACTGTTGGCGTTTGTGCATATCGACGCAAACGCACAATATTGTCTTTACCATTTCTATTGAAACACCACCTGTTGATTTTGCTTAAAATTTAGCAATTGGTAACAGCTTTCGGTTGATTGACAACGGCTTTTAATTAGAAAATTGTCTGAATATGAACGTCGCCAAGTGTACAACTAACACGTGGTGTTTGAATAGAAATGGCAAATACTATATGTTTTATAACCGTGATAGTGATTAGGACAGAAAATATCAAGAATCAGATAGTAAATGCAAATACAAAAAAAAAATCATCATGGGTAGTTGTAATATCATATATATATAATTTTTGTGTAAAATATACTATTTGATTTTATAAAAGACTTTGAGGTTAAAAGACTTTTCAATATGTGAATGTCTCTACAAATTTCACAACAATCAAGGAAGCGGATTAGTGGATAAGCAAGTAACTGTGTAAACTCTGACAATAGTTATAATAATATTAATAATAATAATAATAATAATAAAAGTCTAACGTCAAATTAATGAAAAATATATATTAATAATATATACACTTATATATAAAACTCTGACATTATTACTACTAGTACCAACTACTTAATACAAACATCAACTTTCAAAATGTTGCAGTTTTTTGTAAATTTTGCCTTCAATTATTTGAAATATAAATGTCATACAAAAAATTTATTAGAAGCAGGTTTTTTTTACTTTTCAAAAAAAAAAAATCATTTCTTCTCTATCAGTTTGTAACATCAACTTCCTCATGAAGATTTGTATTAACAGCTTCATCGTTTTCCCTTTTTTCTTGCTTCTCGTCGTCAATTTTTACCTGGCCTATGTTGGTATTTAACTCAGCCTGATTAATATTATCGATCGCTTTGTTCACATCTTGAACCAATTCTCTAGCAATTTTCAAACTATCACCGAATTTCCCATCAATCTTTGACCCTTCCTCAAATTTCTTCACGGCTTGTTCATATTTAACCAAAGCCTCTCTGTACTTATTTTGCGCTGCGGAATTATCACTTTTCTCTTTATCAAACAACTTAAAAGCTTCCTTCTCCAGCTCATTCGCTGCATTAAAGAGCCGGTTTCCTTCAATTTTCAAATTAACAAGGTTAAAATTTTTTTGATATTCAGTAGAATTGTACAGATTCCGCGCCTGTTGAAACAAACTTCTAGCTTGGTCGAATTTACTTTGAGCTTCTTGCGATTTATCTTGAGTATCATCAGCTTCTGCATCCCACGCTTTCTGCAAACATTCCTTTCCAAACTCATTGCAAGCCCTGCTTTTATTGTGTTGAATGTTACTTCTAGTTGAACTTTGATTCGTAAGACTTGCAGCTTCGTCAAACTTTTTCATCGCTGCTTCATATCTCTTCTGGTTTATCGCTGCGTTTCCTTCTTTGTTTCTTTCTTCAGCTCTATCGTTTTGCAATTGCGTTTGTACTTGTTGTTCGGTGTTGTGAAATTGTACAACGAGAGTTTTATCTCCGTCGCGCCAAAACCATGTATCGTGGGATTTTCGGATTGACTGATAGTTGAGGTCACACCAACCAATAGCATGTTTCTGATTGATACGAAATTCGTCTACTGTTCCGTCTGAGTAACTAAATGTGATGTTGAAAGGACAATTACGTGCATGGTAGTTGACTTCTAGTCTTCTTTGGACTGTTCCTCCTCCTTGTGATATTCTTAAACCTTGCAGATTATGGTCAGGACGAGAATTTCCGTCCCAGTCATAATTGTCGACTCCGTAAACATGAGTATTGACGATTTCTTGACGGGTATTGTTTATTATGCGGATCTGAGTTTCTTTGCTACGGCCCATTTTGATATTTTTTTAATCAATGAATATACTTATTTGACGTAAATCGAATCACACACATTAGGGTAACACAACCAAACTCTTACTGAGTGCCTCGGTTTTTATCTGTGATAAATAGCCAATGACTCACTTATCACATACACGTAATGGGGATATCCACAATTTGATTTCAATTGAACTTAACAAAAAGAGACAAATGACTTTATGTAGATAATTGTAATCAGCGACTAAGTCGGAAACAGAATGTTTGACCTGAATGTTCGTTGTGGTGTCCTTCCCATCATTTCCGGGTCAGTGGTGGATCCTAAAGTAATAATTTATTTTCATGCTTCACTTTACATTACAATACATGTAATAAGTTTGCAAACGTCAAAAGTAGATACAATTATGTACATAGAGAGAATGATTATCACAATTTCACACATTAAAATAAACAGATATTTTACATATTGAAATAGCCTAAAAATTCCTCAAAAAATAGAAGGTCCCACTGCATAGCAAATCTTTAATAATAAATTTAAATTTATTTAAGTCAAGATGTTTATACTTAGGAGGTCAAAACTTCATAGAAATGAATTGCATGGTATGTAAGTATGTGCCACATGTGTCCTTGTTGGTCTCGCGGCTTCTAAGTAAATTT